CTGCCTCTCTACCTGCACGCCTGCCTCTCTACCTGCACGCTTGCCTCTCTACCTGCACGCTTGCCTCTCTACCTGCACGCTTGCCTCTCTACCTGCACGCTTGCCTCTCTACCTGCACGCTTGCCTCTCTACCTGCACGCTTGCCTCTCTACCTGCACGCCTGCCTCTCTACCTGCACGCCTTGCCTCTCTACCTGCACGCTTGCCTCTCTACCTGCACGCCTGCCCTCTCTACCTGCACGCCTGCCTCTCTACCTGCACGCCTTGCCTCTCTACCTGCACGCTGCCTCTCTACCTGCACGCCTTGCCTCTCTACCTGCACGCTTGCCTCTCTACCTGCACGCTTGCCTCTTCTACCTGCACGCCTGACTCTCTACCTGCACGCCTGCCTCTCTACCTGCACGCTTGCATCTCTACCTGCACGCCTGTCCTCTCTACCTGCACGCATGCCTCTCTGCACCGCTTGCCTCTCTACCTGCACGCTGCCTCTCTACCCTGCACGCCTGCCTCTCTACCTGCACGCTTGCCTCTCTACCTGCACGCCTTGCCTCTCTACCTGCACGCCTGCCTCTCTAGCCTGCACGCCTGCCTCTCTACCTGCACGCTTGCCTCTCTACCTTGCACGCTTCCTCTCTACCTGCACGCTTGCCTCTCTACCTGCACGCTTGCCTCTACTACCTGCACGCTGGCCTCTCTACCTGCACGCCTGCCTCTCTACATGCACGCCCTGCCTCTCTACCTGCACGCTTGCCTCTCTACCTGCCACGCCTTGCCTCTCTACCTGCACGCTTGCCTCTCTACCTGCACGCTTGCCTCTCTACCTGCACGCCTGCCTCTCTACCTGCACGCCTTGCCTCTCTACCTGCACGCCTTGCCTCTCTACCTGCACGCTTGCCTCTCTACCTGCACGCTTGCCTCTCTACCTGCACGCTTGCCTCTCTACCTGCACGCTTGCCTCTCTACCTGCACGCCTGCCTCTCTACCTGCACGCCTGCCTCTCTACCTGCACGCTTGCTCTCTACCTGCACGCTTGCCTCTCTACCTGCACGCTTGCCTCTCTACCTGCACGCTTGCCTCTCTACCTGCACGCTTGCCTCTCTACCTGCACGCCTGCTCTCTACCTGCACGCTTGCCTCTCTACCTGCACGCTTGCCTCTCTACCTGCACGCTTGCCTCTCTACCTGCACGCTTGCCTCTCTACCTGCACGCTTGCCTCTCTACCTGCACGCTTGCCTCTCTACCTGCACGCCTGCCTCTCTACCTGCACGCCTGCCTCTCTACCTGCACGCTTGCCTCTCTACCTGCACGCTTGCCTCTCTACCTGCACGCTTGCCTCTCTACCTGCACGCTGCCTCTCTACCTGCACGCTTGCCTCTCTACCTGCACGCTTGCCTCTCTACCTGCACGCTTGCCTCTCTACCTGCACGCTTGCCTCTCTACCTGCACGCTTGCCTCTCTACCTGCACGCTTGCCTCTCTACCTGCACGCTTGCCTCTCTACCTGCACGCTTGCTCTCTACCTGCACGCTTGCTCTCTGCCTGCACGCTTGCTCTCTACCTGCACGCTTGCTCTCTACCTGCACGCTTGCTCTCTACCTGCACGCTTGCTCTCTACCTGCACGCTTGCTCTCTACCTGCACGCTTGCCTCTCTACCTGCACGCTTGCTCTCTACCTGCACGCTTGCTCTCTACCTGCACGCTTGCTCTCTACCTGCACGCTTGCCTCTCTACCTGCACGCTTGCTCTCTACCTGCACGCTTGCTCTCTACCTGCACGCTTGCTCTCTACCTGCACGCTGGCTCTCTACTGCGCGCTTGCTCTCTACGTGCACGCTTGCTCTCTACCTGCACGCTTGCTCTCTACCTGCACGCTTGCTCTCTACCTGCACGCTGCTCTCTACCTGCACGCTTGCTCTCTACCTGCACGCTTGATCTCTGCCTGCACGCTTGCTCTCTACCTGCACGCTTGCCTCTCTACCTGCACGCTTGCTCTCTACCTGCACGCTTGCCTCTCCTACCTGCACGCTGCTCTCTACCTGCACGCTTGCTCTCTACTGCACGCTTGCTCTCTACCTGCACGCTTGCTCTTCTGCCTGCACGCTTGCTCTCTGCCTGCATGCTTGCTCTCTGCCTGCACGCTTGCTCTTGCCTGCACGCTTGCTCTCTACCCGCAACGCTTGCCTCTCTACCTGCACGCTTCCTCTCTGCCTGCACGCTTCCTCTCTACCTGCACGCTTCCTCTCTACCTGCACGGCTTCCTCTCTAACTGCACGCTTGCTCTCTACTGCACGCTTCCTCTCTACCTGCACGCTTGCTCTCTGCCTGCACGCTTGCTCTCTACCTGCACGCTTCCTCTCTACCTGCACGCTTCCTCTCTACCTGCACGCTTGCCTCTCTACCTGCACGCTTGCCTCTCTACCTGCACGCTTGCCTCTCTACCTGCACGCTTGCCTCTCTACCTGCACGCTTGCTCTCTACCTGCACGCTTGCTCTCTGCCTGCACGCTTGCTCTCTACCTGCACGCTTGCTCTCTGCCTTCACGCTTGCTCTCTGCCTGCACGCTTGCCTCTCTACCTGCACGCTTCCTCTCTACCTGCACGCTTGGTCTCTACCTGCGCGCTTGCTCTCTACGTGCACGCTTGCTCTCTACCTGCACGCTTGCTCTCTACCTGCACGCTTGCTCTCTACCTGCACGCTTGCTCTCTACCTGCACGCTTGCTCTCTACCTGCACGCTTGATCTCTGCCTGCACGCTTGCTCTCTACCTGCACGCTTGCCTCTCTACCTGCACGCTTGCTCTCTACCTGCACGCTTGCCTCTCTACCTGCACGCTTGCTCTCTACCTGCACGCTTGCTCTCTACCTGCACGCTTGCTCTCTACCTGCACGCTTGCTCTCTGCCTGCACGCTTGCTCTCTGCCTGCATGCTTGCTCTCTGCCTGCACGCTTGCTCTCTGCCTGCACGCTTGCTCTCTACCCGCACGCTTGCTCTCTACCTGCACGCTTCCTCTCTGCCTGCACGCTTCCTCTCTACCTGCACGCTTCCTCTCTACCTGCACGCTTCCTCTCTACCTGCACGCTTGCTCTCTACCTGCACGCTTCCTCTCTACCTGCACGCTTGCTCTCTGCCTGCACGCTTGCTCTCTACCTGCACGCTTCCTCTCTACCTGCACGCTTCCTCTCTACCTGCACGCTTGCCTCTCTACCTGCACGCTTGCCTCTCTACCTGCACGCTTGCCTCTCTACCTGCACGCTTGCCTCTCTACCTGCACGCTTGCTCTCTACCTGCACGCTTGCTCTCTGCCTGCACGCTTGCTCTCTACCTGCACGCTTGCTCTCTACCTGCATGCTTGCTCTCTGCCTGCACGCTTGCTCTCTGCCTGCACGCTTGCTCTCTGCCTGCATGCTTGCTCTCTGCCTGCACGCTTGCTCTCTGCCTGCACGCTTGCTCTCTACCTGCACGCTTGCTCTCTGCCTGCACGCTTCCTCTCTGCCTGCACGCTTCCTCTCTACCTGCACGCTTCCTCTCTACCTGCACGCTTCCTCTCTACCTGCACGCTTGCTCTCTACCTGCACGCTTTCTCTCTACCTGCACGCTTGCTCTCTGCCTGCACGCTTGCTCTCTGCCTGCACGCTTGCCTCTCTACCTGCACGCTTGCTCTCTACCTGCACGCTTGCTCTCTGCCTGCACGCTTCCTCTCTACCTGCACGCTTGCTCTCTACCTGCACGCTTGCTCTCTACCTGCACGCTTGCTCTCTACCTGCACGCTTGCTCTCTACCTGCACGCTTGCTCTCTACCTGCACGCTTGCTCTCTACCTGCACGCTTGCCTCTCTACCTGCACGCTTGCTCTCTACCTGCACGCTTGCTCTCTACCTGCACGCTTGCTCTCTACCTGCACGCTTGCTCTCTGCCTGCACGCTTGCTCTCTGCCTGCATGCTTGCTCTCTGCCTGCACGCTTGCTCTCTGCCTGCACGCTTCCTCTCTGCCTGCACGCTTCCTCTCTACCTGCACGCTTCCTCTCTACCTGCACGCTTCCTCTCTACCTGCACGCTTGCTCTCTACCTGCACGCTTCCTCTCTACCTGCACGGTTCCTCTCTGCCTGCACGCTTGCTCTCTACCTGCACGCTTGCTCTCTACCTGCACGCTTGCTCTCTGCCTGCACGCTTGCTCTCTGCCTGCATGCTTGCTCTCTGCCTGCACGCTTGCTCTCTGCCTGCACGCTTGCTCTCTACCTGCACGCTTGCTCTCTACCTGCACGCTTCCTCTCTGCCTGCACGCTTCCTCTCTACCTGCACGCTTCCTCTCTACCTGCACGCTTCCTCTCTACCTGCACGCTTGCTCTCTACCTGCACGCTTGCTCTCTACCTGCACGCTTGCTCTCTGCCTGCACGCTTCCTCTCTACCTGCACGCTTGCTCTCTACCTGCACGCTTGCTCTCTACCTGCACGCTTGCTCTCTACCTGCACGCTTGCTCTCTACCTGCACGCTTGCTCTCTACCTGCACGCTTGCCTCTCTACCTGCACGCTTGCCTCTCTACCTGCACGCTTGCCTCTCTACCTGCACGCTTGCCTCTCTACCTGCACGCTTGCTCTTGCCTGCACGCTTGCTCTCTACCTGCACGCTTGCTCTTTGCCTGCACGCTTGCTCTCTACCTGCACGCTTGCTCTCTGCCTGCACGCTTGCTCTCTGCCTGCACGCTTGCTCTCTACCTGCACGCTTGCTCTCTACCTGCACGCCTGCCTCTCTACCTGCACGCCTGCCTCTCTACCTGCATGCCTGCCTCTCTACCTGCACGCCTGCCTGTCTAGCTTGACCTAGTTCTGCACTTCGCTTTTTTCTTTTCATGGCTTATAAAGCAGAGTACTTTCACGCCTTATACAGCATACCTGAACGCCTTATACAGCATACCTGCACGCCTCATACAGCGTACCTGAACGCCTTATACAGCGTACCTGGGGGGTGTAGGGTTTTGTGTTGTCTCTACCTGTACCTGATGCGATTATTTCTCTTTTCTCTTTCTTCTAGGGCGCACCTGCACGCCGGCATCAGTAGCGGAGGAGGAGACGGGGAGGTAGGGGTTGGTGTAGTCGCGGCTGCGGTGGCTCTGGAACTTGACGTTGAGGTCCGTGTGGGCTGAGAAGGAGATGCGCAGGCTGCATGCCTGCACGTGCTCCGGGAGCAGGTAGCTGGGAGGCGGAGCATAGACACACGCACATGCACAGACACACAGGGAGAGAGAGAGAGAGAGAGAGAGAGAGAGAGAGAGAGAGAGAGAGAGAGAGAGAGAGAGAGAGAGAGAGAGAGAGAGAGAGAGAGAGAGAGAGAGATGAGGGGAAGGTGGCTCTGGAACTTGACGTTGAGGTCCGTGTGGGCCGAGAAGGAGATGCGCAGACTGCATGTCTGCACGTGCTCTCGGAGCAGGTAGCTCGGGGGGGGGGAGGGGGGGGGAGAACGAAGGAGGGACCTGTGGCAGGTAGGGTATACCTGTGTCACTTTTGAGAAAATCCAAAATAATTAGTCTGTGTGACACGTAGGATATGGTTAGTGCGACAGGCAGGTGACAGGTAGGAGGCACGGATCTTGTAAAGGTGCTCTGGGAATACACACCTAGGAATGCTCCTGCCGTCCAATGAAGTCTTGGCACTGTTGGCAGTCTCTGGGTCTCCGTACTGCACCAATGCCTGCACGGGTCATGGGAAAAACGGGAACAACCAAACGTGGATCAACGCCACGCGGGTCAAAGCCACAGGGATTGATTCGACGGGACCGCCAACTGGGTTACAGGGAAGCATGGACCCAAAGCCCTCTGATTCGGACCTGACAAGACCAATCTAGACTGAATGAAAGATGTTGCTGGGCTTTAAGCCTTCTCACAGACCTGAAAACCGGCACTCTTCTCAAAGGTTGCAATCTTCTGGACGAATCCGAATGCCGAGAAGACCTGCGATTTGACGCGCAAAGGAGAGTTTGCAGCAGGATACAGAGTGGAGGAGAATGCACTTTCCAACACAGGCTGATTATGCGCACCATTCAAAGCAGTTCATACCTAGAAAGATTTTCGACGCATGGAAGCAAACACAGCTGAATGCGAATAAGAACAACGACACAAGTGCTAAAGCGGAGAAAAAACTCAAGCACACCGAGCTGTAACGAAAATTGCTTCCAAAACGTATAAATTAGCAACATTCAATCTCAGAAGCCTAGGAAAGCATGCAAAGAGAAGGCGCAAATGCATGAGCACATATGACACATAGGAAAGGTGATAATTCATCAGTGCTAAGCTGCCCAGCTACGAGTGGGCATGACGAGCGGGGGTGCAGACTCCCTGAAACCGATTAGCACAGAAACAATGGGGGTTGGGTTGAGTTGAGTTGGGTTGGGATGGGTTGGGTTGGGTTTGGGTTGGGTTGGGTTGGGTTGAGTTGAAAAGGGGGGTTGGAGAAAAGGTTAGAGAGGGTGAGAAGGGCGGGCAGGTAAGAAAAGGTTATGAGAACAAACGGTGAAATCAGAACGGATCTTGCTCGGATTCGCATCGCTCGTGCGAGGGAAGATCTGAGCCGTTCACTTCAATGAGAGGAAGATGGCCTGCACACGGAGAGGGTTTTGGTGGTTCATTAAATCCTTTGCAAAACAGAACGAACCTCGTGGGTGGGGGCATAGGTGGTCTGGTCTGGTGGAATCCCAGTAATTGCCTTAATGGAATTGGAGCGGAGCAAGCGAGGAGCCAGGAGTGGAACGATATAATCTGCACAAGGGTAATCCCATGCAAGCCTGCAATACCTAATAAGCTTGCAAGCTTGCAAGCCTATGTGAGCATCAAGCTAGCTGCTTGCCTCGCACGTTCCTCCTAACGCATGCGTGACGCGTGCACAAAACGTACCTTCAAACGAACAGGCACGCACGTACCAGGTGAAGCACGTCTATAGTCACGTCGCCAGCCTCAACCCCCTCTATAGTCACAAGCAGGACATTCCCGGAGGTGGAATCGCCAGTCTTGTTGGACGTGGTGATCTCCTGCCGCGTCGAGTACTGCAGGTACACCGCCTTCCCGCGGACCTGTGCTGGCTCGGATGACGATGCATAGTAAGACACCATGGCGATCGCCTGGTTCAAATCCGCCTGAAAATTCGGACACACGGAATGGGAGCACCAGACATTGTAAGGTACACCGCCCTCCCGCGAACCTGTGCTGGCTCGGATGATGATGAGTAGTAAGACATCATGGCGATTGCCTAATTCAAATCCGCCTGCGGTGCGGAGAAAAGGTGATGTAACAAATTGCCATTCGGAAGCAGCGAAATGACGCGGAATATTCTCAGGATACATCGGAATGCTATTAGGAAGCAGCCAATTTTATCAGGACGAAGCGGGATGCTATCAGGAAGGAGCAGCTAGATGCTTTTAGGAAGTATCAAAATGCTATCAGGTATAAGCGGAATGTTATATGCGGAAGTAGTGTCCTGGCACGCGAACGCCAAGAATCTGCATGATTAGGACAACAAAAGGATTAACCGCTTGACAAATAGCAAAGCGAAACGTAGCGCTACGAACTTACAAACTCGACAAACGCCTGGTTACGGTTGGCGCCGACGCTGGTCTTGGTGTTGACGACGCGGCCGAAGGGCTTGCAGAGCTCTGATAACTCCTCCTCCGTCGCCTCCCACGGCAGGTTGCGCACGTGCAGCACCTTGGATGGCGGTTGCGAGTAGCGGAACTGCGGCTGACCTGCCGCCATCGCCGACGCGCTCATGGCGCGATGCGGCCTACCCCGGGCCTGCGCTTGACGCGTATGGTGATGTTAGGTTGCCGGGGTTTGGTCAACGGATGTTCGCGGTTCGGTTTGCATGTGATGCGGGAAGGAAACGAGTCGATGTGAGATCGAGGAGCTTCTATGAAAGATTCTAGCTGTCAAGGTAGGTTTGTTGACCTGCAGATGGAGACTTCAGAACCAGAGGGGTGAGATGGAATCAGTGGGTGTGAGAGGAGATTACATTAGTTGCCTTAGGGGATGTTCCAGAAGTTTGACTGAGGGCTGAGTAGGTTCTTCTCGTTTCAGAACGGTCAAAACACTTTGTCAGACCTGCCCCTAGATATTGTCGAGCCAACCTTTACAACTGAACCCTGTATAAGGTCATTCACTTGTGGGACATTTTCCGAATGTCACATATTCAAATATCAATGATCTGTTTTCTCTTCGAATGCGCCGTTCTTGCTCCTTCACACTGACAGCTGCCGCAGCCTAACGGTGAGCCGCCGCTGCTGCGCATCCAACCGTGGATCAGCACTAGTCGACGCGCCGCGACCATCAACCAGATTCCTCCAGCGCGCGTAGATCACAATCAGTGTCGACCATCGACCATGGCATCGCGCCGCCTAGCTTCTCTTCTCGCGTCTGCAGCCACGCGGCACAGACCTCGCCCAATCACGAGCTGCCAGCACACCATACCAGCTGTCATTTCTCCCAACGTGACCTCCCATGGCGCTGACATGCCGTCCTTTCCCGGGAGCCCTCGGCACTACAATCTAGTCCCGATGGTCGTGGAGCAGACGCCACGTGGCGAGCGCGCATTCGACATCTTCTCCCGGCTGCTGAAGGAACGGATCGTGTGCGTGAACGGCGCAATAGGCGACGACACAGCGTCACTGGTGGTGGCTCAGTTACTCTATCTAGAATCAGAACACCCTGAGAAACCTGTAAGCGATGGTCGTTCTAGCTTTAAAGAACGTGATTCATCTAGCTGTACGTGTAAATAAACCTGTGACGAGACGCCTTATAACGCGTTTTCACCCCTCCACGCAGGTGTACATGTACATAAATTCGCCTGGCGGTCTGGTGACAGCAGGCCTTGCCATATACGACACCATGCAGGTGAGTGTGCAGGCGAGTATGCATGCGGGTGAGTGTTCAGGTGAATGCGCAGGGAGTGTGCAGGAGAGTATACAGGTGAGCACTGAGCATGCGAATGAGTGTACAGGTGAGTGTGCAGGTAAGTATGCAGGTGAGAGTTCAGGTGAGTATGCAGGTCAGTGTGGTATGGTCGACCATTCATGACCCTGTTCGCTATATGCACCCCTTTATTCCCTAGCCTCCTCCTAACAGTCCTTCAAATTCCCCCCTCCCATCCCCTCCCCTCCCCTCCCCCCCGACCACCACCACCAGTACATCCAGTGTCCAGTGAGCACCCTCAGCGTGGGCCAAGCAGCCCCCATGGCCACACTGTTGCTCTCAGCAGGCGACTCTGGTCGTGCCTTGCACCACCTGACACCCACCGTGCTGCTCTTAGCTTGCCTCCCCTTTCTGTCCCCCCCCCACCAGTACATCCAGTGTCCAGTGAGCACCCTCTGCGTGGACCAAGCAGCCTCCATGGTCACGCTTCTGCTCGCAGCAGGGGAGGCGGGGCAGCGGCGGTCACTACCCAACGCGAGTCTCGTGGTGCATTTTCTTCTCCTCTCTCCTGCCCTACCCCACCCCCCCCACCACCACCACCAGTACATCCAGTGCCCAGTGAGCACCCTCTGCGTGGGCCAAGCAGCCTCTATGGCCACACTGCTGCTTGCAGCAGGCGAGGCGGGGCAGAGGCGCTCGCTACCCAACGCACGGCTCATGGTGCACCAGCCATCAGGGGGCGCGCAGGGGCAGGCCACTGATATCGCCATTCACGCGGAGGAGATTATCAAGACTAAGGCCCGGCTGAACGGGCTGTATGCCAAGCACACGGGGAAGGAGGTTGATGTGATTGGTGAGTGAAGGCTGTGCTGTTACCTTCTCCTTCTGTTGCCTACGCTTGTTATGACGGCACTTGCCACTTTAATGTTGCCAACTTCCCCCTTTTTTTTGTCTCTTTCCGGTGCCTGTGTCGTGTAACCTGCTTTATCTCACGTTTCAGCTGAGAGTATGGAGAGGGACCGCTTCATGAGCCCTACAGAAGCACTCTCGTTTGGGCTTATAGACGAGGTGATAGACAAAAGACCTGCAGCATTGGTCACAGATGGTGTCAAGTGATAATGGATATTGCTTACGCTTTTGAACGCGGTCCACTCGAAGTGTATTTTTATCGCTTGGAGGAAAGTGCACTAATATAGACATGAGCTTGATTGGCTTTACATGACATGACCTAGTGGGCACGGTGCAATAAGTGTTATGGCGATACCTCCACCAACGAGGATGGCAGCTGTTCTTGATTCTACCTGAGTCCATTCCCAGGTTTCTTTCCACCACTGCGCAACAATAAAAAGGTTCAGGTGAAACGCATTCGTGGTGAGCACAGTCCCTCCTGCCCCAATCTGATCGCACACAATCGCACATTTTCGTGGGGGCCTTCGTCTTCGGATTGGCGACGTGATTGCGTCAATCACGCCGGCCGCCTCATCGCAACGCGCGGCCTTTGCGACGTAAATTGACCAATAAATGCTCTTCGTTGGCCCCTACATTCCAGTCAGTGCAAAGGTGACACGAACCAGCGTCCTACACTAGCCCCTACCTCGCGCGACTCGCCTGATTGCGCGCTTCGACATCTGCATTTGGTCAATCGTTATACCGGGGTCCGGGGCTTGCTGATCTCACCCTTTGTGGTTTTTCCTCCAACCGTTTAAAATGCCTTTGAAATTATTCGAACCGTGTGCGAACTATCTCAACCCTACTTATCGGACAAAAAACAGTGTTCATCAGCAAACCCTGGGAAAGCAGGGGCTATTATCGAAGGCAGGAGGGCAGGCGACGATGTGACAGTACTGCACGGGGCAGGGTGCCACTACAAGTGCTGTATTGATCTTGAAGCTAGTGCATTGCATTTGCTCCTAAGCCGAACTAGCTAGCCAAGCCGCAACGCGCTCGAACAGCCGCAAAAAGACCGAGAAGACGCTTTTGCTGGTAATGTAGGACCTGGAGAAGGCTACCGTGAATCAATTCAATGATTTCTGGTCGAGGCGACTTCGATCAACGAGGGTCGGCCTATACGTTTGGAAATCGCACAATCCGTCTCACGGAGAACTTTTCTGAAGCTCACGAGCTACGACCCACCCAGCGCCGTTTATCGTAGCTCCACGTTTCAGCGGCCGCGCTGCTTACGCTCACCCAATTCTTCTTCTAGGTCAGCAAAAAGCCTCGCAATGCCGTGGCATTCGGTCCGTTCGTCGCATTCAGCCTGCTCGACGACGGCGCGTGTAGCAACCCTCGTTATAGCGGCGCTCGCGCACGTGTCGCTGCGCGCCGACGCGTCGATACAGGACCTCGTGACGGCGGCCGGCACGGGGTCACAGGGTTTCGGCTTCACGGGGAAAGCCACTGCCACTTACTACGGCGGCGGGCTCGACGGTACGTCTGGTTGGCTGTTACTAGAAGAAAAACAGGAGAGACTGCGACGATATTTTATTACCAGCATTCCATATCCCGTGAAGACTCATCGGATGAGCACGTTCATCCGTTTACGGCGGCAGTGGTAGTAGCCTACGGCACGTCCATGTATTCATAACTTACGGCGGCGGTATCGACGGTAGGTGTATCGCATCGCACCCAGTGGCCCGTATGCTCTTCACAACCCCTGGTTCAATCCACCGCCGACAGCGGTGGCTTCGGCGCGCTGCGTCGCGTTCCGCGTCGGATGGCAGCAACTCCGACAACGCGGTGATCCCTTAACAAATGAGAGTTGTCTTTTGGTCTACATTGCTGCTGTCTGTTGCCACGTGGTGCGTGCAGGCGGCAACTGCAAGTACGGCAATATTCTGGCGGGGGGGTACGGCCCCTTGTCCGCAGGCGAGTTCTGAGATGTTTCAAACATGCCATAATCTCTCTCTCTCTCGATCGCCCATGTCTCCCCCAATTCCTCGTGGTGCGTGCAGGCGGCAACTGCGGGTTCGGCAACATCCTGGCGGCGGGGTATGGCCCCTTGACTGCGGCCGGCAGTGTGATGCTTTACAAGGACGGCCACGGATGTGGCAGCTGCTACAGGTGGGATTGGTGCTACATTCGCAATTGCAAGAGGCGTGTGGGCGGTTTCACAGTGACCACACATCCCCTTCTTCCCAGTGATCAACCTTAAAAGACCTATGCACACCCTTCTTTTCCCCAACGGCAGAGTCCGGTGTGTGGACAGCCCCTACTGCAAGAAGGGCGTGAGCGTGACCGTGACCATCGCGGACCAGTGCCCTGCGGGAGGGGGATGGTGCTGCCCCTCGTGTGTGCACTTCGACCTCAATATGGCCTCTTTTAACCTCATTGCGGAGCAAGTTGCGGGGCACATACCCCTCGTGTACACCAGGTAACCACCCATCCGTGTAACCCCACTGCCTCTAACATATGTGGATAGCAGTACGCTTATGCTGCCCCACGTGTGTGCACTTCGACCTCAATACCAACCTCATTGCGGAGCTAGTCGCGGGGCACATACCGGTACCCCTCGTGTACAGCAGGTAACCACCCCCGTCCATGCAACCAACCACCTGGGTAACCCTAGTATGACAGCGTATGTGGGCAGTGTATAGGAGCAGAGCAGACCCGTGCAGGCGGGTGGTGCTGCCCCACCGTGTACACTTCGACCTGCCCATGCCCGCTTTCACCCTCATCGCTGAGCAAGTTGCAGGGCACATACCCTTCGTGTACACCAGGTAACCACTCATATGGTATCCACATCCGTGCCATATGTGGATGGTTGCAGGCCCAATCTGCTTGTGCCACGTGTGACCCCATTGCCACCGTCTTACTCCCCACCACTGCGTACATGCAGCATCGGCCACATGCAGGGTGTCCTGTGCTTTCAACCACAGCATCCGCCGCACGCCCACCGGCTCTGATTTCTGGATCAACCTGTTCGTGCCACCATGCAACCCCCTGTACTTACTCCACTCTCCCACGCCTACCCCATCGCCTACCTGCAGGGTTCCATGTGCTTTCAACCGCAACATCCGCCTCACGCCCACCGGTTCCGATTTCTGGATCAACCTGCTTGTGCGCAACGTGGCGGGCCCCGGTGACCTGGCATCCGTCCACGTGGCAGAAGCAGGATCCGCCACGTGGAAGCCCATGGAACACGACTGGGGAGCTGTGTGGGTGCACCGGACATGCCTCAAGTCGCCTCTAAGGTTCCGACTTACCTCCTTAATGGACGGGCAGGTGGTGGAAACGCCTGGCCCGTGTCTCCCTGCGGGGTGGGTAGCAGGAAAGGACTACGATTGTCAAGTGCAGTTCTCTGGAGGAGGGGGAGGGGGAGGAGGGGGAGCAAAAGGAGGAGGGGGAGGCGGAGGCGTAGGCGGTTGGGGAGGTGGTGGAGGTGGGGGGAATGGGGGCGGGGGCAACAGCACAGGGGGGAATAATGGGTGGAGCGGCGGAGGGGAGAGTGAGGGGAATTCAGGAATTCTCCCACCTAAGAACATGAAGACCCCTCCTCCTAAGGGTGCTGCTCCTCCAAAGAAGGTCCCTCCTGGTTCCGGGCAGCCGAATAAGGGGAATCCAAAAAATAGCCCTCCCTCTTCAGGGCAGCTGAATAAAGGGAGTCCGAAAAAGGGTTCCCCACCTTCCGGGCAGCCAAATAATGGGAACTTTAAGAAGCTCCCTCCATCTTCAGGGCAGCCAAATAATGGGAGCCCAAAGAAACCCCTCCCTCCTTCAGGGAAGGTGAACAATGGGACCAAGGCGAAAAAAGGGAGTCCAAAAAAGACCCCTCCTGCTCCAGGAACACCCAAGAATGGGACAACGGCTAACAGCCCTCCAAAAAAGACCCCTCCTGCTCCAGGAACACCCAAGAATGGGACAACGGCTAACAGCCCTCCAAAAAAGACCCCTCTCTTCCCTGGGAAGACGAAGAATGGTACAATGACTCCTTCCCCTCCAAGTTCAGGTGCTCCCTTACCAGGGAAGGTGAAAGATGGTGGCAAAAGTAATGGTTCTAGCCCTCCTAAGAAAGGCCCACCATCACCTTCGAAGATGGGCAGTGGGACGAAGACACCCAACCCGCCGTCGACAAACTCGTTATTTCCTGGGAAGGCTGGAAGTGGGGGGTAAGGGCGTATTCCTACGGCCTCCTATCAAGAAACCTCCTATCAAGATTGTACCTTTTGCCTGGTAAAAGTAGCGAGAGATTTTGGGTTTAGGGAATTTTCCAGTGAGAGCTTGATAGGAGGTTTTCTTGATAGGAGGATAGGAATACGCCCGAGCTTGATAGGAGGTTTTCTTGATAGGAGGATAGGAATACGCCCTAAGAGTAATGGTATAGTAGGTGCTGCTGCAAGGGGCGGTAAAGGAGGGATTGGGGCATCGGCAGGTGGAGGGCTTACAACAAGGAGCTCATTGCAACACAGCATCATCTGCTCAGGATAACTTGTCTGGCGAAGGAAAAAAATGGAACACGCACGCTAGGTGTTCCCTTGACACCAAGTGCAGCCAGGGAGGGATGATAAAGGAGAAAGCCGCATGTAGGTATCGTAGCTTGTTATTGCTAGGGAAATAAATTACGGTACCTAGGATTATCATCAATTGCCAAGCTTTGTAGTTAGGTGTTTTGAGTGCTAGGATATCCTGGCGCCATATTTAATCTGTATCCTTACCGTATAACGAACGAAATCTCTAAGGATGAAAAAAATTGTACACCCATCGCAAGAGGGAGGTAAATACGATGCCTGGTCGGTTCCTTGTTGGGGTGGGGGAGATCCCCAACCCAATCCCGAAAGTTGTGAAATCCCAAGATGCGGCTGCTTGAGTCGGTTCCCAAGAAATGCTTGGCAACTCGCGAAGTACTTACGGAAACCTGGGTACCT